AAAAAAAAACACACAGGAAAAGGATCCTTATCTTCATTCACAAACACATTAGATCATTGAAGTTACTTAACATAATTTGCATATGCTGGAACTAATCTTCTATAGCAGACACTTGGATGAAACTTCCTGTAGGATCCTATTTGATTCTTAGTATAAAGGGATGCTCAGGAGAGATAACAGCTCTGTGAGTTTAAGACCAAAGCATTGGAAGACAACATCTTATTCTTTGCCCACAAGCACAAGTGTAAGTGAAAAGAAGAAGAAAGAGAAAGCACACGGAAATTGGAGATGTGGCTCAGGGGCACAGAGCTTGACCTGCATTCATTTGAGGCCCTGGGTTTAATCCCTAGAACTGCAAAATAAATAAATACATAAATGAACACATGCATAAAAGGAAACTTGACTTTATTGACACAAAGAGACAAGTTGAGAAAAACTGAAAATCCGTGCCACGTTCATTGCATCCTGGTAGCAACAGCCAATCAGCTTGATAAGATAAAGCACAATTTGGTGCTTTCATGATATCCATTAATCCTATCTCTTCCTAGCTTTTAAGAATAAGGGCCTGGTATTTAGTATCAACATTGTAGGCATCATTGAAATTAAAAGATAAAAGATACCAAGGTCCTGAGAAGTTAAGGACCTTATTGTGGAAAAGTAAGGATTAGAAGCCATGATTGATATTTCATGGGTCTAAAATGGATGCTTATGCTCTCTGCAGTACAGATGACTTGTTTACTTTAAAAATAGAAAAAAAAATCTATTTTGTTCTTCAGGAAATAAAGTTCCCTGGGAAAATTGGAACAGAATTAGTCAGAACTTGAATGAGAATGACTAGCCCCTCCATTTTTGACATGTTTTTCAAATAAAAATCACCACCAATGGAACATATTAGACTGGTAACTGAATAGTCTAAGATTTTGCCTCTATGCATATTCATCCAATGCCGCTGCACCCACTAACATTCATAGCTTTAATAAACCCAACACCCAAGCCACCATTTCGTAAGTAGCAGTAAATCACTCCAGGTCCCTCAGCATTCATTCAATATCAACACTGTTTTTCCCATAAAGTTCAACATATTGACTGAAATACAAAAATGAACGTTTTGCTTTTCTATCAGTCTTCCAAACATAATTCTTGTGAGTTTAATCAAGGAGTGAAGACAGACCATTGGAACCAGAAAACCAAATAGTATCAATTACTAATATTTCCCATTCTCTATTCAGACTTGTCTTATCTAAAGCTTGTAAAGTTGTTTAATCTCTTCCCTCATCTCAGGGAATAGAGAGTCTGGAAAATCCTGATCATTCCACATTAACTATCAGTGGGATTTTCCATAACTATCTGGATGAAAAATGAAAATCTTAAGAAGTTGATCCAATTCTAAAACTTACTTCTCAACTTACTAATAAATACAAAGAGACAACCTATCCACTTTTCTTCAAATAACATCTGCTCTCTTGGCCAGACTGCTGATACCTGGAAAAAAATTTTTTTGAATTCATTTCAACAAATCTACATTTAAATAGTTCAAAATGTATTTATGCACCAAATCTTCTCCTCTACATCTGACTTACATCCAGCAATGGGACTATAAGACAGAACCTTGCCAAGAACTTTGGAAAGAAAAGGAATACAGTTGTCCTTTAAAAGTTAAACTATAAAACCAACACTTAACTAATAAGGGCAAAGAAATTGGGAATTACCATGAGGGAACACACACACACACACACAAAGAAGAGTGAGATTTGGCCATGATTGCACTAAAGGTAAAACACAAAAATCTGAAGACTATACTAATTAATCATGTAGTCACAAAAGGAGAGCTACTAATACAGATTTCAGCATTATCCACTTACACCCTATTCAGACTAGGTAGAGTCTAGCCCAGCAGAGTAGAGACAAGGCATCTCAACTGTGAAAATGAATGTATCGCTTCATCTTCACCTGATTACCATGAAAACCTACTCTGGGCTGGCCTCTTTTATTCATGATGGAAAACCAAATGTTGAGTATTAGGCCTAGGCTAGCACAGGCAATGAATCATGTTTGTTCAATGTATTTGTTCCAATTCTGTGCTCACAACATCTTGATTATAATTGGCAACACACACACACACACACACACACACACACACACACACACTCTCTCTCTCCTAGTTTTGAGTACAGGAAGATAATGACCTAGTCTTAGAATTTGAGAATTCCAGCCTCCAGGCCAGCAATAAAACTCATTGAAATATACGGTTTAACATTTGACTTTGCATACTCTGAGTCTGATCCCTAAAGGAAGGAACTGTAGGTGTGCTGCTGAGTCAAATATCTGAGTCCACAGCTGGAAGCATGTTTCTGGCATATGGGAAATTCACCAGGATGATGATGGTAGTGGTGATGGGATCATCCACAGCTTTGTGTTGATCTTTAGAGTGCTATCAGATGCTGTACTATGCTCTACATACCTAAACTCAATCCCCACAATGTTCTAACAAATTTGTCATAAATATTCTTATATTTTAAATGAAGAATCTGAGGCTCAGCAAATGACAATAATTTATCCAAAGACGCACCTTCAGAAAGTAGATTCAAAACTAGGTTTGTCTGACTTTATACCTGAATTTCTTAAATTGCAAAAATTGCTACCTTGCAGGATGGAGGGCATAAAGCTTTATCCTTCTGATGGCCACACTCCTCTGCATCGGCAGGGAGTTTCAAGTCACTCTAATCCATCTTCAAGAAGACTACTCATCAATACACTTCTATTATACCAGACTTCACATAAATGTGCACAATGAGTAATGGTTCGCCATTACCTGGCTTTCTTGAGTCTTGGTTCTGTGGTAGTGAGAAAGTTCTTTTAATCTTCCTAGACCTCAGAGTCTTTCTATAAAATGGAGGTCATAAAACCTGCACTGTGAATTGTTGTGAGATTTAAACTAAATCATATAATATGTGCAAAGTTGGCAGCAACATGGCTGGCATATAATAAGTGCTCAAATATTGGTGATTGTTATTACCACTTCTTTCAAGACCCAACCCAAAACATCCATGTTTTGAAAGGTTTTGCACATATATACCATAAAGATTCTTCTGTTCCATGCTTCCACAGAATTCATATACAAGGAGGATTGGTTCCAGAGCCCCTGTGGATACCAAACTTTGTGGATGCCAGAGACCCTAGTACAAAATGGCGTAGTACTCGCAAATAAGCTATGGATATCTTCCCATACACATTAAGTCATCTGTGGATAACTTATAAAACCTAATGCAGTTTAAATGCTATGTAAATAGGTATCACACCTCATCATTTAGGGAATAAGGATAAGACAAAATCTGCATGGTCCAATTCAGATGCAACTTGTTTCAAACAATTTTGATGTGTGGTTGTTTGAATCCTCAAATGCAGAACCAAAAAATACAGAAGGCCTACTATGCTTTCTAATGTATTACCTTCCTCTGAATAGATCACTTGAAATGGTCAGTCCTTCCCCTAGTTTCCTCAAAAAGCCCAACACTTCAACAAATGTTTTAAGGGAAAATGATATTATTATCAAGATTTGTTTTGTCCCAGAAACAAATAAGGGAACAAAAGTACCCCTTGGCCACTGTTCTTACTGCTCACTGAAGCCTTAAATGATGGACATTTATATCACACCTCCTAATGATGCAAGAGAGGCCAAAGTGACCCTTGGAAGAACAGGAAGGCTGTGGTAAGAAGACAGATGGTAATCCCAAATTAGAAATCAGGTCTTAAAGGGGCCAGAGGCAAGGTGACCACTCAGAAGAGCACCTTCTGTCATAACTGTGGAAAGGTGAATTATCAGGCCAGTTATATTTTTTATATTGAATCCTTCCTTTATGGAGTATTGTGTACCCATGAAAACAAGATAGAGGCCAAGCAATAAAATGGCAAATAACATATAAGAGACAATGTTAAGAAAAAAGGATACAGATAATAGTATGCAATTTCTGATGGTAGTACAGAAAACTAGCTTTAAAAAGCAAGCAACAAAACACCTTATGGGAGTGAACTAAAGTTTTAACAGTTGTTACAAGGTGATGATTTATCAGAATCCTGCACATTTTAGTGTTATTATATTCCTTTAAGATGAAAAAAAAAGAAGAGAAAAATAGAAAAAAAGAATGAAAAGAAGAAAACAAAGAAAGAAAGAAAAATCTTGAAGGTATTATATATGTATGTGTGTACGTATGTGAATGTGTCCCTAGCAGCTGGCTTCTGAAAGAAATGAGATAGTGCAGAAGCCACGCCCTAGGTTACAGGGGGCTATGGTCGCCTGGGGTCTGACTCAGCAACTTGGAGACTGGAGGGAACTTGGGTCTGGGGCCCCTGGCGGTTCGATCTTGCTAGGGCTTTTATTTTCCTAACATCCTAGTGCGAAGCAATATTGAGAGCCTGCGGGCGGGCCGCACTTGGTGAGCCCAGCCCCAGACTATGCTGTCCCGATGCGACCCTCCTTGCAAAAGTATTTTTTTTTTAAGGGAAGGGAGGAGCCACGAGGGGCTGGAAACCGGACAGGCTTGAGCGCTGGGCCCCGCGACCTCGCCCTCCCCAGCCCGTCCGACTGCCGACCCCACGTCCCGTACCTCTTGCAAGGGATCAGCGCCTTCCTCTCGTCCAGCACCCTGACGCGCTGGTTGAGCCCATCGTAGGACAGCAGGGCACGACTGTTGCGCCCACTGCTCTGTTGATAAAGAACCTGGCGTCCCTCCCACTGCTGCGGCGCCTGGCACGGGTGCGGCGACCCCGGGGAGCCCGCTGTCCCCAGGCCGCACAGGCCGCCCAGCGCCCAAACCCAGAGGCCACCCAGCAGCCAGGCGCCCAGGGGGCTGGCCGCGCGGATAGGAACGCGTCCTGACATCGCGGTCTGCCGCCCCCCGGGAGTAAGCCCGAACCCAGGGGCCGCTGAGGGCTCCAGGCGAAGAGTGGTTTCCAAGGGTTCTCTCGGCACTGGGCCGGCGGAGGTGCTTCCGGCCCTAGCTGTGGCTTTTATCAGCTGTTGAGATCAGGAGCTAGACTTTGGGCCTGGGAAGGCTTGGGTGAATCGCGCGCGAGCTATTTCTGCCTTGGCCACTGCCTACTGCAGCTTCTGTTTTCACTGCTCACTGCTGCCAACAGGAAATGCAGAGGCAGCGGTGCCACTAGCACCCTGAAGGGCATCGCAATTTAAGGGGGTTGGGGAGGAGAATGAGACTTGACTGGGAAGGAATATGCTTCTCCACTAGCTGCAGTGTTTAACAAGTAATCACACACTGGGGGCAATTTCAAGGTCAAATGGGAGAGTAGAACTGCTACATTTGCTGTTCTCTGATTTATCATGCCTCTTGGCAAATTGTAACCTTTCCTCTACAAATTAAAAGTGAAAAGACAGGTCTCTTCCTGAAGAAATGATACCAGTTTACTCATTAGGGCCACTTCCCAGCCTCCACTCCCAGGCCCTCATAGTAAAGCCTTGGGCTCAGGAACTTTACCTCAAGGTCACATTTGCACTGAGACTGATCCCCTCAAGAACAAAGTTCATGTTTAAGCACTGTTAGGATCTGTCATATGACATCAAGAAAAAAAAAAAAAGAAAAAGAAAAAGGAACTAAGAAATAACCCTTACTTTCCAAGTTTATACCTTCTTCTCATTTGATATCAAGGATGAGGAAGAGTGAGCCAAGTGAGAGTGGGAGAGAACATTCCTGAGTGAAGGACACAGAAGCAAGTGAAAATAGGTAAAGCATTGAGTTTCAAGCACTAAACTGAAGGACAATCTGGAGCCAGATCACTGAGGGCCTTAAAAGTTATTTTAAGAATTTTGTTAGTAATAATTGGGGGAACTTGGGAGCCTTTAATTCATTTAAAGCTAGAGGGGCATCATCTGGTATGTTCCTTAGAAAGCTCATTCAGATGTCAGTGTTGTGAAGAATGAGTAGGGTTAGAGAAAAGGCAGGAGGACCAAGCAGGAAACTATTATTCAGGCAAGAGATCTTAGCTGAGCTAACATGGTGGTCGTGGGAATGGAAAGGGTGAAATGGTATTGGGAATTATAGAGAAAAAATTAGATTAAAAGGAAGAGCTTTCTGGCTTGAGTCACTGGGAGTTTAGCTCTGAGCAGGGAGAAAAGATAGATTTCAGTTAGATCTTCTTCCCCCGCCATACCAGGGGACATTTGACAAGGAATTCTCCAGCCCCAGATATCAAAAGTGCCCAAAATGGCAACCCCTAGAGCAGAGGGGAGTGTTGAGAATGAGAAGAGAACTGAGGATGAAATCCTAGAGAACTCCAGCCACTTAGAGGATGAGCAGAAAATCAGGCACTTCGGGATCCTGAAATGGAATCACCTGAAGAAAAGCCATGGTCTAGGGGAACTTTCTCGGCTTAGGAATATTGGATTGAGTGCTGAAATACAGATTCTAGAATCACAGGCTCCTTGGGGGGACATGATGAGGAAAGGAAGTTGACCAGTTCTCCTGATGAATCCCTTTTCTGCTGTAGAAACATAAGAGACAGAGTTTGATGGGCTGATGGGATAAGCAAAGAACTTCATGAAAAGGGACTTTTCACCTCTACTTACCTTTTCTTAAAGGACATGAATTCCAAGAACATCAAGGAAACCCATGAAATGTTTGGGACATGGTCCTTATATATTTTAGAAAAACAGCAGGTTCAAACTCGCTGCAGAAGTTCGAGCCCTCTTCAAGTTCCCCCTCCTCAAACAACTGATAGGAAAATGGTAGGTCATTCTGCTCTTTCTCTTGCTCCTCCAATAGAAACTGAAGCTTTTTTTTTTTTTTTTTTCACTCAGGGAGTGGTTTAGATTCAAATTTCACTGCTGGAAATGGCTTGAAATATTATGTAGTTATCTCTTTTGCTTTATGTTTTACTGGTGTAGTTTGGCATCTTTGGAGCTTAAGATCTATCTACATGTCAAGGTTGGCTTTGCTGTTTTAGGACACCCTGACCTGTACCTAAAAAGACTAAATAGGACTTGACTCCTCTGGTGAATATTGAAATGTATCTGTCTCATTTATCCTTTTAACTTACCATGTTTAATTCATGTTCCTAGAGAAATAAGAAAATGAATTTAAAGCTTTTACTTCATATTGGGCCCACTATAGAGGCCCAATAAATGTCAGTTGTTACTTGTTTAGTCAGCAATTTTAATCCTCAGTCTTGGTCAGGGTCAAAACTAAATTAACTTTGTGGGTCTAAGATTAGGAAAGAAAACAAAAATAACTGCCTTAAATTTAGATTTCAAATTAAATTACGTTTTTAAAGATTAAAGAAAGAGCCCGCGCCGCTCCTAGAGCTGCCAGAACATGTTTCTATTTTACTAAGGCTCTAGGAAAACATATTCTAGAGGCTGTACTGCCTAAAAACTGATGTACACTCACAACAATAAAGTCTCCCTTTCCTGTGAGTAATGGGTCCAGTAGTTGGTTTTGCTGCCTCTTCCTAATCAAGTAAGAGAAAAGAGAAAATAAAACATACCCACTAGCTTCCCAGAGAAACAGCTTCTTATTGAACTCAAGTAACAGTCTTGAAGTACATCAAACATCAAGATTTTAGGCTGCTGGAATGGAAAGGGGGGAAAAATCCGATTGTGGTGTCCAGAAGTTTCTTTGTTTTCTCCTGGATTCCATTCATGCTGGAAAGGGGACTAACCATTTAGAAGAAGGAAGAGGGAATGTTGATGGTGACTAGACATTTCTCAAACTAGAAGATGCTCTTATACTTCTGGGCAGTCTTGTTTATTTCCTGGAGAAGGCACAAGCCAAGTACTCCCCTGGGAAAACTTGAGCCAGAGATAATGTCCAGTAGCCACAATAACAACAACAATAACAACAACAACAAACTTCACACAGTTAGGACTGGGGTGGGGTGGTTTATATAAAGTGTGCACATCCTGTTTCCACATTTACTGTACCATCCCTTGGTCCGACACCACTCACTACTCAGCGCTTCTCATGCCCCCTGCTGGAGAAAGCAAATGCGCTTCAGAATTTGAAGGTAACCAAGCTTCCCATTTCCCTCCAACTCCTATCGGTCGGGAAAACCGTAAGGCAGAAGGAGCAAAGAGCCTTTTCTTTCTCTTGAATTTCTTTCCTGTAGCCTCCTCTATGTGGTGTCCAAAAGGACTGCCAGATGCTCTTGATCCGAAGGAAAAGGATTAGGCCAGACTGAAAATGAGGGACTTTGAAGGAAATGCAGGATTCCAGCCCTTGGCTTCAGCCTGGGGAGGTGATGTCACCGCTTCTGCTCGGAGGGGACGGGGGTGGGGCTGCAGACAGAGAGAGAGAGAGACCGTGCCGCTCCTCCAGCTGCCAAGGGAGCGTTCTGAGCCCACGTCAGGGGAGGTGTCGAGATAAATAGGGTGCCGAAATGGCCGTGGCTGGCTGCGCTGGGAGCTGTGGGGTCCTGGACTGGAGCAGCCTGAGCGAGTTTGTGTCTTGGAGGCTGAGCGCTGGCTCTGCTGTTGCTTTTTTAGCTGGACGGCCGAGATTCGCAGCCAGACCCCAGGGCCGCCTGTTGCTGCTGACTGGAGTTTGGGGAGGAAAACTCTTCAGTAACCCGAAGGATTTCCTCTTCGGAGAAGCAACAACGAAAGACTAGCAGGAAGAAAAGGGCACTTTCTGCCTGTCTGGATCGCAGCGCAGGAGGGCAGTGCCATGCTCCTCTCCATCCTCGTGGCGTTGTGCCTGTGGCTGCGCCTGGCGCTCGGCGTGCGCGGCGCGCCCTGCGAGGCGGTGCGCATCCCCATGTGTAGGCACATGCCCTGGAACATCACGCGGATGCCCAACCACCTGCACCACAGCACGCAGGAGAATGCCATCCTTGCCATCGAGCAATATGAGGAGCTGGTGGATGTGAACTGCAGCGCGGTGCTGCGCTTCTTCCTCTGTGCCATGTATGCGCCCATCTGCACCCTGGAGTTCCTGCATGACCCTATCAAGCCGTGCAAGTCCGTATGCCAGCGCGCGCGCGACGACTGTGAACCCCTCATGAAGATGTATAACCACAGCTGGCCCGAGAGCCTGGCTTGCGACGAGTTACCAGTCTATGACCGTGGGGTGTGCATCTCGCCAGAGGCCATAGTCACCGACCTCCCGGATGGTGAGGCACTGGGAAAGATGGAGGGAGGCCAGGAAGTGCCTGGGGCGTCACTGCCACTTGAGAACTAGGCGGACCACATCTACAGCTGCCAGGGGGTGTTCAACATAGCACCCTCCTTTGCAGCACCAGCCTCAATTCCCAGGCTTGGAAGATGTGGGAAGGAATGGCAGAAGACTTTACTTATCAAGAATTTCGTGAGACTGGCAAAGAACATTTGGCGCTCCATGAAGGGAGGGCGAGGGGAAGATTTTGCTTACAAGGGAAACATTGGCAATGTTTTTATTTACAGTAATAGCAGAAATAATAATAGTAGCAAACAGATATTTCTGAGAGTGTGAATCAGTGTTAAACACAGTGCCTGTGGCTAGTTTAATGCTTTTACAAGTCCCACTGGGCATTTGGTGCTACTTTTTAAAACTTCTTTCTGAAAGAGCAATAATGGTCTTTACTCCCCACCAGGAGTAGGGTTTGCAATGTAGGCTGTTCCTTGCTAGATACTGACCTTTGTTTCATATTAAAGATGCTACCTAGTGTGGCATCAATTTAGTTAATCTCTTTTCAGCTTCTTTTCTCAATTTGCTGCTTGCTTGCTGCTTTTCTTTCTTTTTTTCTTTTTTATTTTTGGAAGGAGAAAGTCTAAATTCACTTCTTAAAAGGAAACCTAAGAATAACTTTGCCTTCTTGTATCCAGGCTTCCCCTAAGCTAGGTTACACCACATTAAAAGAGATTATGGTGTCACTTTAGAGTCATCTCTGAAGTTATACTTTAGTGGATTGCTCTGAACACAAAGGAGGCGTGGTTAAGTGGAGGGGTAAATTAAAAGTCCTCTCTAATTTAGAGTTTTAGAGAAAACACTTGTATTGTTTACATTTTATAAATGATAGTGATGCTTGGTTTTGGTTGTGCAACTCTGCACTGTTGCTGCACTGCAAAATGTGCAGTGAGGATTTGAAAATATTCTGATTATTTTGATTAAAGTGTTAGCTTGGAAAATAAATGTTTTACTATTACTTTCAGAGGAAGTGAACTCAT